AAGGCACATAATCGTCAGATTCAACAAGGTTGAAATAAAGGAGAAAATACTAAGGGCAGCCAGAGAGAAAGGTCGAGTTACGCACAAAGGGAAGCCCATCAGACTCACAGCAGATCTCTCGGCAGAAACACTACAAGCCAGAAGAGAGTGGGGGCCAATATTCAACATTCTTAAAGAAAAGAATTTTTCAACCCAGAATTTCATATCCAGCCAAACTGAGCTTCAGAAGTAAAGAAAAAATAAAATCCTTTGCGAACAAGCAAGTACTCAGAGATTTTGTCACCACCAGGCCTGCTTTACAAGAGCTCCTGAAAGAGGCACTACACATAGAAAGGAACAACCAGCACCAGCCATTCCAAAATCACACTAAAAGTTAAAGAGCATCAACATAATGAAGATTCTACAACAACTAACAGGCAAAACAGCCAGCTAGCATCAAAATGGCAGTATCAAATTCACACATAACAATATTAACCCTAAATGTAAATGGACTAAATGCACCAATCAAAAGACACAGACTGGCAAATTGGATAAAAATCCAAAACCCATCAGTGTGCTGTATCCAGGAAACCCATCTCACATGCAAGGATACACAAAGGCTCAAAATAAAGGGATGGAGGAAGATTTACCAAGCAAATGGAGAGCAAAAAAAAGCAGGAGTTGCAATTCTCATCTCTGATAAAATAGACTTTAAAGCAACAAAGATCAAAAGAGGCAAAGAAGGCCATTACATAATGGTAAAAGGATCGATACAACAAGAAGAGCTAACGATCCTAAACATATATGGACCCAACACAGGAGCACCCAGATACATAAGGCAAGTTCTTAATGACTTACAAAGAGACTTAGACTCCCACACAATAATAGTGGGAGACTTTAACACTCCACTGTCAATATTAGACAGATCAACCAGACAGAAAATCAACAAGGATATCCAGGGCTTGAACTCAGACCTGGAGCAAGCAAACCTGATAGACATTTACAGAACTCTCCACCCCAAATCCACAGAATATACATTCTTCTCAGCACCACATCACACCTACTCAAAAATTGACCACATAATTGGAAGTAAAGCACTGCTCAACAAATGCAAAACAACTGAAATCATAACAAACAGCCTCTCAGACCATAGTGCAATCACGTTAGAACTCAGAATACAGAAACCAACGCAGAACCGCACAGCTTCATGGAAACTGAACAACTGGCTCTTGAATGTTGACTGGATAAACAATGAAATGAAGTCAGAAATAAAGAAGTTCTTTGAAACCAATGAGAACGAAGACACAACATGCCAGAACCTCTGGGACACATTTAAAGCAGTCTCTAGAGGAAAGTATATAGCAATAAGTGCCCATATGAGGAGAATGGAGAGATCCAAAATTGACACCCTATCGTCAAAATTGAAAGAGCTAGAGGAGCAAGATCAAAAAAACTCAAAACCCAGCAGAAGACAAGAAATAACTAAGATCAGAGCTGAGCTGAAGGAGATTGACACGAAAAACCCTTCAAAAAATCAATAAATCCAAGAGCTGGTTTTTTGAAAAGATCAACAAAATAGACAGACCACTAGCCAGATTGATTAAAAAGAAAAGAGAGAACAACCAAATAGATGCAATAAAAAATAATAAAGGGGAAATCACCACAGATTCCACAGAAATTCAAACCATCATCAGAGAATATTACAAACAACTATATGCGCATAAACTAGTAAACCTGGAAGAAATGGATAAATTCCTGGACTCCTGTGTCCTCCCAAGCCTAAAGCAGGACGAAGCTGAAACTATGAATAGACCAATAACAAGGTCAGAAGTCGAGGCAGCAATTAAGAGCCTACCACACAAGAAAAGCCCAGGTCCAGACGGGTTCACAGCCGAATTCTACCAGACACACAAAGAGGAGCTGGTAATGGTACCTTCTAAAACTATTTCAAACAACCCAAAAAGAGGGAATACTTCCCAAATCATTTTACGAGACCAACATCATCCTGATACCAAAACCCGGCAGAGACCCAACAAGAAAAGAAAACTTCAGGCCAATATCCATGATGAACATAGATGCAAAAATCTTCAATAAAATATTGGCAAGCCGAATGCAATAGCAAATCAAAAAACTTATTCACCATGATCAAGTAGGATTCATCCCGGGGATGCAAGGCTGCTTCAACATACGCAAGTCTATAAACGTAATTCACCACATAAAGAGAACCAAAAACAAAAACCACATGATTATCTCAATTGATGCAGAGAAGACATTTGACAAAATTCAACAGCCCTTTATGCTAAAAACCCTCAATAAACTCGGTATCGATGGAACGTATCTCAAAGTAATACAAGCTATTTATGACAAACCAACAGCCAATATCATACTGAATGGGCAAAAACTGGAAGCATTCCCTTTGAAAGCTGGCACTAGACAAGGATGCCCTCTTTCACCACCCCTATTCAATATAGTTCTGGAAGTTCTAGCCAGAGCAATCAGGCGAGAAAAAGAAATAAAGTGTATTCAAATAGGAAAGGTGGAAGCCAAATTGTCTCTATTTGCAGACGACATGATAGTATACCTAGAAGACCCCATCACCTCAGCCCAAAAACTCCTGAAACTGATAAGCAACTTCAGCAAAGTCTCAGGATATAAAATCAATGTGCAAAAATCACAAGCATTCGTCTACACCAATAACAGACTTAAAGAAAGCCAAATCAAGAACGAACTGCCATTCACAATTACTACAAAAAGAATAAAATACCTTGGAATACAACTCACAAGGAACGTAAGGGACCTCTTCAAGGAGAACTACAAACCACTGCTCAACGAAATCAGAGAGGACACAAACAGATGGAGAAACATTCCATGTTCATGGTGAGGAAGAATTTATATCTTGAAAATGGCTATACTGCCCAAAGTAATTTACAGAATCAACACTATCCCCATCAAGCTACCATTGACTTTTTTCACAGAACTGGAAAAAACCACCATGAACTTCATATGGAACCAAAAGAGAGCCCGCATAGCCAAGTCAATTATAAGCAAAAAGAACACAGTGGGGGGCATCACTCTACCGGATTTCAAACTATACTACAAGGCTACAGTAATCAAAACAGCATGGTACTGGTACCAAAACAGAGATATCGACCAATGGAACAAAACAGAGGCACCGGAGGCAACACAACATATCTACAACTATACAATCTTTGATAAACCTGACAAAAACAAGCAAGGGGGAAAGGATTCCCTGTTTAACAAATGGTGTTGGGAAAACTGGCTAGCCATGTGCAGAAAGCAGAAACTGGACCCCTTCCTGACACCTTACACTAAAATTAACTCCAGATGGATTAAAGACTTAAACATAAGACCTGGCACGATAAAAACCCTAGAAGGAAATCTAGGCAAAACTATCCAGAAAATAGGAGTAGGCAAGGACTTTATGAACAAAACACCGAAAGCATTGGCAACAAAAGCCAAAATAGACAAATGGGACCTAATGAAACTCCACAGCTTCTGCACGGCAAAAGAAACAGTCACTAGAGTGGATCGGCAACCAACAGAATGGGAAAAAATTTTTGCAGTTTACCCATCTGACAAAGGGCTGATATCCAGAATTTACAAAGAACTCAAACAGATTTACAGGAAAAAAACAAACAAGCCCATTCAAAAGTGGGCAAAGGATATTAACAGACACTTTACAAAAGAAGACATATATGAGGCCAACAATCATATGAAAAAATGCTCATCGTCACTGGTCATCAGAGAGATGCAAATCAAAACCCCATTGAGATACCATCTCACGCCAGTTAGAATGGCAATCATTAAAAAATCTGGAGACAACAGATGCTGGAGAGGATGTGGAGAAAAAGGAACACTTTTACACTGTTGGTGGGAGTGTAAATTAGTTCAACCATTGTGGAAGACGGTGTGGCGATTCCTCAAGGCCTTAGAAATAGAAATCCCATTTGACCCAGCAATCCCATTACTGGGTATATATCCAAAAGACTATAAATCGTTCTACTATAAGGACACATGTACACGAATGTTCATTGCAGCACTGTTTACAATAGCAAAGACCTGGAATCAACCCAAATGCCCATTGATAATAGACTGGATTGGAAAAATGTGGCACATATACACCATGGAATATTATGCAGCAATCAGAAATGATGAGTTCGTGTCGTTTGTAGGGACATGGATGAATCTGGAGAACATCATCCTCAGCAAACTGACACAAGAACAGAAAATGAAACACCGCATATTCTCACTCATAGGCGGGTGATGAAAAATGAGTACACATGGACACAGAAAGGGGAGTACTAAACACTGGGGTCTATTGGGGGAAAAAGGGGAGGGCCAGTGGGAGGGGGAGGTGGGGAAGGATAGCCTGGGGAGAAATGCCAAATATGGGTGAAGGGGAGAAGGAAAGAAAAGCACACTGCCATGCGTGTTCCTACGCAACTGTCTTGCATGCTCTGTTCATGTACCCCAAAACCTAAAATCCAAAAAAAAAAAAAAAAAAACAAAACTGTAGTTGTATGACAGTAAGCAGGGTCCAGGACCAAATATATATTTCACAATATCACACATGTGTATACCAGTTCAATCAGAATGCGAAGTTGCAAAAATGATACAATTTTTTATTCAGACAGAGTCTCATTCACCCAGGCTGGAGCTGCGGTGGCGTAAATATGACTACCTGCATCCTCAAACTCCTAGGCTCAAGGGATTGTCCCACCTCAGGCTCCAGAGTAGCTGGAACTAGACCCACATACATATATGCATACATTCATTCATTTATTTTCGTTGAGAGGGGGTTTTTCATGTCGCCCAGGCACATCTTAATCTCCCAAGCGTAAGGCATCCTCCTGCCTCCACATCCCAATAAGCTTGGACTACAGGCGTGAGCGACTGCATCTGGCCAAAAATTCCAATAGTGTCTAATATATGAGAATAAATGAATAAAAGATGTGCAATACTTCTTTGACGAAAACTGGAAAGATTTATTGAGATTTTAAAAAATTTTTTTATCGCATTTTAGGTTTTGGGGTACATGTGCAGAACGTGCAAGACAGTTGCATAGGTACACACATGGCAGTGTGTTTTGTTTCCTTTCTCCCCTACACCCACATTGAGATTTTTTTAAGTAAAATATCTCGGATGAATTCAGTTTGCATTCTTTCAGCTTGTCTTCGTTTAATCCTGTGGTTTTCCCTCGCCTACAACAGAAACACAACAGGAGGGAACATTACTAGCTTGACTGTATTCAGATGAAATTAAAGGTATGCAACGGACACCAAAGTTTTAGTTTTATAGAATGGACTAAAACCAGAAGCCTGTGTCTCCCAACGGCTAACATTTAACGAGACCTCTGTAGAGAACTTGAAGATACACTTCCAAGCACAATATACATAGGCAACATTTTAAAAATATACCCTGCTTTTAGTGCTAGAAGGAAACCAAATGGTAGTCCGAGCTCACAATCCATTAAATCAAGTGAACCTGTTAAAAGGGGCTTGAAGAAGATAGCAAACACTGTGTAGAGTTTTACTCAAAATGCAACCAGAACACAAAAAAACATAAGAAACAGAAGGAATTTCTGAAAGAATTCCTTCAGAAGAAATGTATAATTTAAGGTTTTGGCTTGAAACTATGGTCTGGATGTCCAATAGGCTCCTGCAAATAGTCTGAAAACTATCTTTTGAGAAAACAGTTCATGTCACATTAGGAAATAAATAAGTGAAGTGAACAGAAAGGACAGTATCGTGTTTGTTTTTTCTCTATTGTGCAGAAGTGCAATCATATTGCTTTGAGCTAGTTTACCCTTCTTTGTTCTTTTTTTTTTTTTTTGAGACAGAGTTTCACTGTTGTTACCCAGGCTGGAGTGCAATGGCACGATCTCGGCTCACTGCAACCCCCACCTTCTGGGTTCAAGCAATTCTCCTGCCTCAGCCTCCCGAGTAGCTGGGACTACAGGCGCACACCACCATGCCCGGCTAATTTTTGTATTTTTAGTAGAGACGGGTTTCACCTCGTTGACCAGGATGGTCTCGATCTCTTGACCTCGTGATCCAGCCGCCTTGGCCTCCCAAAGTGCTGGGATTATAGGTGTGAGCCTCTGCGCCCGGCTTTGTTCTTTTTTAACATACACTAATCATTTGTATCTAGTTTTCACCTATAGTTCTCATGTCAATATGAATGACACATTTTTCACCAGAAAGTATTCTGGTTTGTATAATTAATTAAATGATTATATAAGTTTTAAGGTATCACTATTATGATTGATATTAAAATGTGAAAGAGATATACATCATAACTAGTGGAGAAAAAAATGGACAGGGAAATGAAAACGGAGAGTAAGACATCTGGAGAAGCTAAAAGCAACTATTTTTGAGGGACAACTGGCAAATTTCACAAGTCCTTCCACAGTCTTTGTGATGTTCAGATATTCAGATATTACAGGGACATATTAAATGTATGTGTTCCTATCATATCAACCATTAGATCCACACACTCTGAAAATAGTGTTCAAGAATGTATTCCCTTTCAATTATGCCCTACATTCAATACCTGTGTCTTGTTCATATTCTATGTTGTGCCTTTTCCATTTTCTTCAAGATTGTTTATTGTATTCCCCCTTCCTAGTTGTTTCTCAAAAACAATCTATTAAATTTATTACTTTTGAACTAGTTTTCCTTTTGTTAATGATTTGTACCTTTCATTTACTGCCTGTTTCCTTTTCTCTAATGTTTATTCTGTAACTCATTTATTATTTATTCCTCAATATCATTTTCTTGTACCATGTAATTAGCTATCTATTTTAATAAGATATACATTTAATGCTATGGCTGTCCTAAGAATCCAACTGAGGCTTGTTCAATAGGCTCCTGGAAATCGTGTGAAAGCAATCTTTTAATGTAAATAGTCTAATGAAGTTGTTCAGCAGCGTGGAGTACAAACATCTAGATAATTTCTGCCCTAAACATGTAGTGCTTCCTTTCAATTCAGAAGTTCTAATTAAGTCAGCAATTTGGAAAATATGTTTAAAAGATACTTCTGTAGACTACTCAGTACTTAGTATGTTATAGCCTTTGAACTTTAAGCCTTATCATTTGAAGACTCAAGGCAGAAACCTGTAATATATAACCTCTGATATGGTTAGAGGTTACCATATGTGTCTTCAGTCTAATTACACACAGTAGCTCAGGAAGACTGACAGGAGGGCAGCGAGCATGCCTTGCACAGGCATCTTACAACCAGCTTGAACATCACTGATTTACGTGGATGATCCCTACTTCATGGGCCACAAAACATGACTGTCTCTTTCCATTTTATTATTCAGTCATTCAAGGCTTCACTGTGGGAAGACTTTAAAATGCAATCATTGGGTTCAGCAAGGGAGGTGGCTCATGCCTATAATCCCAGCACTTTGGGAGTCTGGGGCTGGTGGATCACTTGAGATCAGGAGTTTGAGCCCAGCCTGGCCAACATGGTGAGACCCCGTCTCTACTAAAAATACAAAAATTAGGCACAGTTGCAAACACCTGCATTCCCTGCTACATGGGAGGCTGAGGTATGAGAATTGCTTGAACTCGGGAGGTGGAGGTTGCAGTGAACAAAGATCGGACCACTGCACTTTCGCCTGGGTGACAGAGAAAGACTCTGTGTGAAAAAAAAATGCAATCACTGATTACGAGCCTAAGAGAATTCAAGATTCGACAAAATCCAAGAACACTCATGAAGGTCTCCATATAGGAAAACAAACATCAAGCAGAGTGCTGGTTCATTTTCTTAGGAGAAATAAAATATCAACTCAGATATTATGATTGGACTGAAGCTGATTGTTATGATAAACAAATCATGAAAATGAGAATATCTTTGTATTCTCCCCAACAGAACCAGAGCATGCAGAAAGCAGCACTGAAATGGATTTTAATCTATCTGCATTCATTACTTTCAATAAAAGCAAAAATGGGTGTAGGATTTACCTGATTTGTCCAGAATCTTACAAATTATGTTAGAGCTGGCACTAGAATCTCCTTGAGGGTCAGCTTATCTCATACAAGCTGGTATTATAAATGTATTATGTATTTGATAAAAGGAGAAATTAGATAATAATCTGAAAAGTGTTAGCTGTTGGTTATACTCAGAAGTAAGAAAATGCTTTTCCATTTGATGATTCAATATGGCTTTGACACAACTTCTGTCTGTATCTGATAGTGTTTCAGTTTTGCAGTCAGGCTTCTGGGGTCTGAACTACCTTCCAAAGAAAGTCTGCATTTGAACTCTGTTTCTCAAGGGGCAGTAATGCTCTTTTTATTATCAAAAGTAAAATATTGTGTAATACAGAAAGCACCTAATTTTGAATCTTAATGGATAACATACCTCCTTCTGGCATTTTGTATTGCTCTGATTTTGGTACACTCTTTCCCTCTACATCAGGACCAACTCTGCATTCATCCTCAGTCTTTGACTGAGACAACTCCTGGAGATCAGGTTCCAGGCCAGGCACTAAAAAATATGAAGGATACAGATTGGATCACCCAAACAAGAATGATAAATAAGGAAATAAACCTATTCATTTCCTCAGTGTTATGAAATAAAAGCCTGTAGGCTACTGTGGTAATAAATGTGATGCAAAGATGTCCCGCCTTTGCCTTCCTGTATTATGGTATCTTATCTTAAATGACAATCTGAAGATAAATCACACCACACCTACATTTCCCATACTTTACCATTGTTTATTATAAACACATAGCGACCTAGGAAATCTGAAGTAATTCAGCTACCTAGGAAACCTGAAGACTGCCCCATGGATAGCATTCTAATTAAAACTTAAATGTAACTTTCTGAAGGAGTACATCAGTGTATTGGTGGTCCTATGAGAAATCTTATAGTCATGACACTCATCCCCTGTTGAGGTACCTTGAAAATGTTGGGATTAAACTTAAAGTAATGTTTAGGTCCAAATGCCCTATGTGTGACTTTCCAAACATAAACGTCATTAAGAAAATGTAAGAAATACAACAGCAAATACTGTCTTCCAACGAGAGTATGGTAACTGAAGTGCAGAGAAATTAACGGGCATTGTTGATAGTCATATTCTAGAACTCCTTTGGCAAGGAATTGCTAAAATAATCCATGGCCCAAATTCTGTCTGTCTTCATTTTGAAAACACTATCTATTGAAGAAACAATTTGTTTCATGATAATCTAATCAGACTTTGAGTTTTCTAATTATAAAAATAGTTAAATGACTTTTAAAAGCCCCTTCAAAATCCTACTAATACAGTTACCTGTATGCCAGTGTACTGAATTATTCATCTTTTACCAAACACACCATCAAAAAATACACATCAAAGGAAACAGTGGCTGTCATTCATTGGCCTCTTTTCTGGGGTTGCTATCCTGCTTCACTGAACTGCATTTAGTCCTCAGCCAATACTGACATATGTTAAAGTACAGACACATTTGAGTATTAAGCATTTTTAAGCAAAATCATTCACATTTTCTAACATAGATGGTGGGAAGAATGTAAACCTTGGCACAAAATATAAATTCTTTCTCCATGAGTCAAGTGTTCTTGGTAAGTCTCAATCTCTGAGCCTCAGTTTTCTTATTCATTTATTTATTTAGAGATGTAGTCTCACTCTGTCTCCCAGGCTGGAATACAGTGGTGTGATCTCACCTCACTGTGACCTCCTCCACCTGGGCTCAAGAGATTCTCCTGTCTCAGCAGGCTTAGCTGGGATTACAGACATGTGCCATAATGCCCAGATACATTTTGGATGTTTAGTAGAGATGGGTTTTCACCTTATTGGCCAGGCTGTTCTCAGACATTTGACCTCAGGTGGTCTGTCTGCCTCGGCCTCCCGGAATGCTGGGATTACGTGTGAGACACTGTGCCTGGCCGCAGTTTTCTTATTTACAAAATGAGGTTAACATCCCTTTGCAAATGGGCTTTATTCAGGGTGTTATAAGGTAGGGTGATTTGGCACACCACATACTATTAAAGGGTGCTTACAACACTTACAACACTGGACATATGTCTGAGAAGATCACACTGCAACATCCTAGAAGATCAAATTAAATTTCTGCAATAATGTACATTTTTATACAACCAATTAAATGGTTTCATCTGATTTAGGAAGGAGTGTATTTTCAAGCATACGAAATACATCTTGAAGAAAAAGAGAAGATTCTTCACACCCAGGGACTGCAGGAAGCTGCAAACTATACCCATCACGTTTCTAGCCAACTCTCAATAAATGTTTTAGATTCTTTCCCAATGTTTTCTTTCCTCCTGTTACTGGTCATGGCATAAGGCATGATGCACACATAGGCCTCCTCCCCCCATATACATTCTTTCTTACCCTTCCAAGCACCTTGAATCTCAGCTACACCCTGATCTTCTTCACTCTTCTGACCAGGTGTATGATCGTGACTTTCAGCTGGTGTTTCTTCTCGTTGAGGCTTTGGCACACTGGGTTCCTGGGAAAAGGGGTGTGTGTGTGTGTGTGTGTGTGTGTGTGTGCAGATAAAATAATTTCTTATCAATAATGTGAATATGCACATTACATAGATACTTCTGATCATACGCATGTTTAAAGACATGCTCCAACACTATCCCAATACTATTCCACATATTTATTCTTCATAAAGTCACTCTTCCCATAGAGAGATAACTCTAAGACTGTTACCCTCAGTGGCTTCGGAAACCATTTTAATTTACGTTGAGTTGAATGTGTACAATGTGCTATACATAAGCATGAGGAGGAAATCACTAGTTAAATCTGGGAAACACAAGATCACACATCCGGACAAAACTAGTATGTAGTCCTCTGGGTTACTCTTTCCTTCATGAACTGCCATGATCACTTCTTATCAACATGGGAGAACTTTATCAGTATATCTAAACTAATTCTACAACACAACAACAACAACAACAAAATTCTGCTAGTAGAAAACATCAAATGTTAAGTCACTCACGTCAGGCCTGGTCAGCTGAACAAGTCGCACATGTCGCATTGGTCTATGTTTTCTTTCTCTCCCACTCATACTTCACTCTGCAAATAGAACAGTGTGCACTTTAGGAGGCCGAAGCAGATGGACGACCTGACGTCAGGAGTTCAAGGCCAGTCTGGCCAACATGGTCAAACCCTGTCTCTACTAAAAATACAAAAACAGCCAGGCTTGCTGGAAGCTGCCTGTAATCCCAGCTAGTAGGGAGTCAGAGGCAGGAGAATCACTTGAACTCCGGAGGCGAGGGTTGCAGGCAGCCAAGATTGCGCCATTGCATTCCAGCCTGGGCAATAAGAGCAAAACTCTGTCTTAAAAAAATCAAACCAAACCAAACCAAAACAAAAACAAAAAAACCCCTGAATACTGTGATTGGAAAAACGCACGTGAGAGGATACTATATTTGAGCACTTCCAAGGCCATATGTTAACTTGCAATTTTAAAAAATTTGGTAATACATTGAAAAGTCAGTCAGAGGGCATGTATGAGTGTGTATGCCTTCTGAATCGAATACTTGCACAACCAGCTAAGCTTATCAAGCTAGCTGAGCTTAGGGCTCACGGTAAGAGACACACGGCATTTCCAATGAGGGTTCGTTTCATAACTGGTCTCTTTTTAGTGAGACAATTAAGAAAATACAGCTTGAGAATTAAAATTTAAGTGCCCACAGCTTTTGTCACACAGGCATTTGCTAGGCCCATTTCCCTTCCAAAATGAAGTTTTGTTGGAATGGTAAGCCCCACCCATCCACTCGAACTTCCAAGATGGAGTTGAGAAGTTGCCACACAGTTGTGGGGGGTCCTCACCGGGCTGGCACCTCTGAAGTTCGCTATACAAACCCTGGGGCTGCGAACACCAGCCCAGAGTGTTCCCGCTTTCCAGGCCCCTTCCTTACCACCCACGCCATCGCAGCCCTGATCCCCCTTGAGGAGTATGGAATCTGTCCTCTGGAAGGGGTTCCAGGCGTTTCTGAGACTTGGATACTGCCAACAGAAGCCCAGCATCGCCACAGCTTCACCTAACTGCCGCCCCCCCGGCCCCTGCCGCCCACTCCAAGGCCCTTCTTCTTGGTACTTTCTGACTCCCACAACACAAGAAGGCCCATAGCCATGGAGCCGCATGAGAAGGACGACAGCCTCAAGGCCCTTCTCCCTTGGAGTCACCGACCAAGAGGCACGACCCTCGGAAGCCTGCTGTCACCTCCTCACCCTCACTCACACTTCAGCTTCCAGTGGGATGGGCCCGTGGGCCTAACCCGCTGAGTCCACTGTACATATCGCCCCGGTATAGGCCTATCTTGATCTTCCTTGCCAATTCATATTTCATAATGCAAATGGAAAGCTGCGATTCGGAAAATGCACTTGACAGGGTAGGTATATCTGACCACTTCCATAGTGAAATGCCAACTTGCAATTTTTACAAAACATTTGGTAATACTTTGGAAGTAAGTCTCGGGGCAAGTGAGTGTGTGTGCCTTCTGAATCGAATGCGTGCACACTCCCTTAAATTGGTCAAGCTACCTAAGCAATGTCTTAAGGCTCCTGGCCAATGACACAGGGTTATTTCCGATGAGGTTGGTTTCACAACTGGACTCTTCATAGTGGAGATCTTTAAAAAATACAGCTGGTGAATTAAAACTGCAGTGACCATGGCTTTTGTTACACACCCATCTGATAAGCCCATTTCCCACCTAAAATCAAGTTTTGTTGGAACGCATGGTCCCACTCATTCAAACCTCCACTGCAGAACTGAGACATCGAGACGAAGCCCTGGGCGCTCCTCACTGGACACCTGTGCCAAGCGTTCGATATACCTGTGAGCTCCCGTCTCTAACCCACTGCGTTCAAGAACCTCTCCTTACCTCCCACCCAGCCCTTTCCCAAGTCCTTACGAAGGAGTCTGGAATATGTCCTCTCTCCGGGGTTCCAAGCCCTTTCAAGACGTGGATACCTCCAACAGCACCCCTAGCACTCTCCCCGTCTTCACTTGACCCTGCAACTCCACAGCACAACTTCCTCCCTCATTCGGAACCCTCTACAAGGCCCAAGATGGTGCCCTGGCATGAGGAGGACTATCACCTCAAGATTCTTTACGTGGGAGGCCATGGACCACGCTGTCCCATGCCCTGGAAAGCCACAAGCTCCTCCTCACACTCACTCACACTTCCACTCCTGTGAGGACTGGTCTGCAGACCTACCTGTTGAGTATCAGCAGTGGGAGAAAGGGTCTGAACTGCAGTAAAGTAACCCTCACACCCTCACAGCTCCACGACGTTCACCACATGGTGAAGGGGCCGATGGGAAGACGCCCAGTGAACATGCCCACTGAGGCAGGTGGGCGCACCAACAGCATGCACAGTGAAGTTGGTGCCCGCCTTGTGGGCTGTGGCCCCACCTCCTTGCCACACCTGGCTGTGGCCCGCCTACTGCACCCCACGTGCACCTAGCAGTTCTGCGCCCTGTCCCAGGTCCCCACTGAGGACTTCAGGATGTGCCCTCTCTGGGTGGTTTCCTGTGCCTCTGGGACTCAAATACCACAAAGAGTTTCCCCTTCAAAACTCACTCTATGTTCATGACACCCTCTTCTGCTCTATGGACCTGCTACCTTCCCTGTCCAGGACCCCCACTACAGCAAGGACAATGCTGCATCTTGGCCTGCTAGGAGAAAGACAGGGACAGCAAGGTCCTTTCCCCTAGGAGGCCGTGGATGGCGCCCACGGGCTCCTCCTCACACTCTCCCACACTTCAACTCTGGGAGGACTGATCTGCGAACCTACTGGCTGAGTCCTAGTGGGCACTGCAGAAGGAAGTCACTGCGTCTCCTTGCACAACTCTGCAGAGACAGAAGGCAGACAGACAAAGTGCATGCCCACAAAGGGACTTGTGCAGCAAGGGGCATGCACACTGAGGCACATGCAGGTCTGGCCAGGATTTTCCCTCTGTTCCCTCACCGAATCCCCGCTTGTTTATAGTAGAAAGAAAGGGATGTGAGAGACTTTTTTTTGTCTTTTGCCCACCTATTCATGGATTCAGAAACGTTGAGAACAGAGAGTTGTATGTCACCCTTAGTAGGGGGTGTGTCTTAGAAAGGCCTTTTGTGACAGAAATAAAGAATCTTATGTCTATATTTACACATGCTTTTTTCTCAGGGTGTTTTTCTGTTGCCCATGGTGGAGGGCTGTGGCATGACCATGCTTCACTGCAGCCTCCATCTCTTGGACTCAAGCAATCCTCCTCACACTGTAACCTCCCGTGTAGCTTAGAGGGCAGGTGACCACCACAACACCCACCTAATATATTTAGTGTATTTAATATATATATATTTTTAGATGTGGAGTGTCAATGTGTTTATCAGGCTGCTTTCAAACACATGGCCTCAGGTGATCTTTCCATCTCTGCCAATATTTATACATGCTTTTTATGCATGCTGTAGACTCCATTAATTCACACCTGTATGCTTTTTAAAGGTTGTATTATTGTACATTTATAAGTCTCGACTGGTATAAATGTGCCAGTCCTAAATACCTGTAAGGTAATCCTAGAATTTTCCCTGAATACCTGTAAGGTAATCACTGGCTCACCCATGAGTGTGATTTTACCATTGGCTCCCTGTGTCTTGGAAAGCCTGCATGGGAAGTATTTCTTGAGGAAAAGTGCAGTTTCCAGGAACAGTTTTGAAAAACAGTGACAATCGGTGTCTTCCTTCCCTCCCTTGCCTCTCCTCATGTGCCAGGTTTTCTGTTTTCTCCGCTATTCAAAATCAGCATATAGTATTCTGTGATGAAAAGTTTTTATCTTTTTAATCATCCCATTTTGTTCTTTTTTTTTGGAAGGTTGTAAGCAGCAGGGTCAAAACATCTTCCAAGAAATGCATTAAAATATAAATTTAGTTAAAATATTTATTATATTTATGAAATGGACAGGATGAAATCCTGAATTTCAAAAAAATTTTAAAAGTCGGTTTACGTAACATCCATTTCTTTTGACTCTATCAGTTATCCTGTGAGAGTTGTAGAAAAGATGAATTCCTTGCTTGTGGCAACTGCCTTAAGTAGTCAAACTGCTGGACCTTTTCCATTAATATCACACATCCAGATGTAATAACCACAAAATGCAAAGCCATTTTACAACTGTACCCATTTTTGGCTGGGCATGATGGCTCATGCCTGTAATCCCAGCACTTTGGGAGGCTGAGGCAGGTCGATCACCTGAGGTCAGGAGTTTGAGACCAGCCTGCCTAACATGGTGAAACCTCATCTCTACTAAAAATACAAAAAATATCCAGGCATGGTGGTGTGTGCCTGTAATCCAAGCTACTTGGGAGGCTGAAGCAGGAGAATCGATTGAAACTGGGAGGTGGAGGTTGCACTGTGCTGAGATAGCGTCATTGCACTCCATACCAGGAGACAGAGCAAAACTCCATCTCAAAGACAAACAAACAAACAAACTGTATCTGTTTTTTTTTTAATCTCATTGTAATTTCCATCAAACCCCTAGCACTAAATTCAACATTCACAGACTTACAAGTAGCATGGCCAAAAGAGATCCTGCCTCAAATGTTGGGATAGGGATGCTGCAGTGGCAGCCCAGCTGTAGAGAAGGCTGGAATTTGTCTTCACATACCCCACCCCCTTTTTGAGACAGGGTTTCTCTCCTTTTCCCAGGCTGGAGTACACTGGAGGACTTATAGATCACCACAACCTAGGACTCCTAGGTGCAAACAATCCTCCTGCCTTACTTTCCTGAGTGGATGGGACTACAGACACGTGCCACAATGTCCAGCTAATATTAAAAAAATGTGTAGAGCAGGGGTCTCACTATTTTGCCCAGGCTGGTCTTGAACTCCTGGCTTCAAGTAATTCTCCTCCCTCAGCCTCCCAAAATACAGGATTACAGGTGTGAGTCCCTGCATATGGCCCTTTTTCTCACTTTTTTCCTTTATCTAAGGCTTTGCTCCAGTCCAGGAAACTGACTTTTTCCCTCCCACTTGGAGAAAACAGCAATTACAACAATCAGGATTTTTGGCCTACCGAAAGTTCATTGGCAACTATTGTGCTCTGTCTCTACCTTCTTGCAGGAGAAAACTAAAATTACAGTCAGCACCAGGCTGCACTGTCCCCCCATACATTATCCTGTGCAGAACAGTGGTTGAGACATTCAGTGAGCCAGTTCTCTTGCAGTTGGAGGGATTATTGTTAAATGCTGTGAGTACATGTATTTTTCATAATAGAC